AATAGGCTTCGAGGAGGAATACGTGAGCATTATCACAGAAGCGTAAGTAAGGCACTGAGTGGGAAAGTGAATCACTTTAATGGAAGCTGGGCTGTGATAACCCCACAGCATGTGAGAAACTGCCAAGTGTGGGCAGTGTTGCCACACAATCGGTGATTGGGCTTTAGCATGCTGAATTAGATATAAGCCAGACAGCACCCAAGCATGCGTACCTGCCACCCTAATGGTATAGGGATCAACATTCTAAGCACTTTTTGGTGCTCCCATTTATGTACACAGCAGTCGGAATGGAGATATTCTGTGTCCTTATTGAGAGTTGCAGCAGTGAAAAAGAAAACGATTAGCACAGAAAAAAGGTAAAATGACACTGTAAGATGGACAAGCCCTTAAACAGGGCTGGCTCCAGAGTTTTTGCCGCCCCAAGCGGCACAAAAAAAAAAAGACCGTGATCGCGATCTGTGGCGGCAATTCGGTGGGAGGTCCTTGGCTCTGAGCGGGAGTGAGGGCCCATCCGCCGAATTGCTGCCGAATAGTTGGACCTGCCGCCCCTCTCCGGAGTGGCCGCCCCAAGCACCTGCTTGGCAAGCTGGTGCCTGGAGCCGGCCCTGTTTAAGGGCTTGTTCATCTTACAGTGTCATTTTACTTTTTTTCTGTGCTAATCATTTTCTTTTTCACTGCTGCAACTCTCAATAAGGACACAGAATATCTCCATTCCGACTGCTGAAATTCCCTGCATCATAGGCTATGTACATAAATGGGAGCACCAAAATGTGCTTAGAATGTTGATCCCTATACCATTAGGGTGGCAGTACGCATGTTTGGGTGCTGTCTGGCTTATATCTAATTCAGCATGCTAAAGCCCAATCACCGATTGTGTGGCAACCCTGCCCACACTTGGCAGTTTCTCACATGCTGTGGGGTTATCACAGCCCAGCTTCCATTAAAGTGATTCACTTTCCCACTCAGTGCCTTACTTACGCTTCTGTGATAATGCTCACGTATTCCTCCTCGAAGCCTATTTGTGCCGTTAACTCTCCCGACACCCGGCATCCACACTCATGTTATGGAGCTGACATCATATCCATTCAAATATAACCAGCTTTCCATGGGGTGGTAAATCTGTCAAGACCCAGCAAATCCTGGGTTTGGGGGTCCCTGAGAGTTTCACTCTCTCCGAACCCTTTCCAGGGGAAATCTCACACCAACACTATTGATTCTCTTTAGCAACATGTTGCTTTTCCCTTTCTCTGTTTGTTCAGAAACTTCTGAAATATTCTCCACTTTGTGAGCCAATAGAATTTAAGAGGAATTCTCAGAGCTGAATTAACTTTTTCCTTGTACAACATATGATCATAGAATCAAGGAAATGTAGGGCTGGAAGGGACCTCAAGAGGTCATCTAGTCCAGCCCCCTGTGCTGAGGCAAGAACAAGTAAACCTAGATTACCCCTGACAGGTATTTCTTTAACCTGTTCTTAAAGAAGGATGGGGATTCCATATTTTTCCTTGGAAGATTAAATATCCTTATAGTTAGAAAGTTTTTTCTAATATCCAACCCAAATTTCCCTTGCTGCAAACTAAGCCAGTTATGTCTTGTCCTATCTTCAAGAGAGATGGAGAACAACTGATCACTATCCTCTTTATTTGAAGACTTAATTCCTTCCTCAATTTTCTTTTTTCAAAACATACCCATTTAAAAAAAAATCTGTCCTTACAGGTCAACTTTTCTAAACCTTTTATCATTTTTGTTGCTTTTCTCTGGACTCTCCAATTTGTCCACATCTTTCTTAAAGTGTGGCAACCCAAATTAGATAATACTCCAGCTGAGGCCTCACCAGTGCTGAGTAGAGTGGGGCAATTACCTCTCATGTTTTAGATACAATACTCCGTTAATACACCCCAGAATGACATTAGCCTTTTTATTGACTGCATTACATTTTTGACTCATGTTCAATTTGTGATCCACTATAACCCCCAGTGCATGGAGTACCAGAGACATTTTCTGGAGGAAGACTGAGAAGTTGGCATTGGAGGAGCTGAATGTACGCCAGCAAAACTAGATATTAAAAGTAAGGAAAAGAACAGAGCTGCACATGTTCAAGGAAAAGGACAGTTGTGTTCAAAAGCAGCAGAAAAGTCCTGTAATGTATTTTTAACTATAATCCACCATTTCCGTCATCATCAAACCTTCTGTCATGTCATCTACAAATGTGAGTTTCTTGCCATTTATCATGTGTGCATATTCATCTGGCCCCTTCCCAGGTGAAATATTGGGAAATATTTCTTCCACGGGGCTCAAGATGAGGTCAAAGCACATCTGTCTGAGCCATTTACGGAACCTTCTCAGGCGCATGCAGAGTTGAATGTGACAGCTACCAACAATCACTGTTCTGACCAAGGAGATGTTTTAGTCGCAAGAGCCAGTGCTAGTCCAGCCCTTGTGCCACTTGTGTGCTCTGTCAACGTGCACAATGAGGAGACAGACACCGCCTGACATGTCCACTGTCAATGCATGGAGCTGGCTAATGCAGGGCAGAGACTCTGAGCTTGCTGCACGATGCATCCACAATGGTAGCTGTGCCATCACGTGGAGGCTAGAAAGCAGGCTATGGGTAGTCTAAGTGGTACTTGGCAGGCAGGGGCGGCTCCAGGCACCAGTGCAGCAAGCGCATGCCTGGGGCGGCCTGCCAGTTGCTGTGAGGGCGGCAGGCAGGCGGCTTTCGGCGACGTGCCTGCGGGAGGTCCGCCGGTCCCGTGGATTCGGCAGCAATTCGGCGGCAGGGACGCCGATGGCACGGCACCAGCGGACCTCCCGCAGGCATGCCATCGAATCCGCGTGACCAGCGGACCGTCCACAGGTGCGCCGCCAAAAGCCACCTGCCTGCCGTGCTTGGGGCGGCAAGAAACACAGAGCCGCCCCTGTTGAGAGAATACATTGCGTGTATTTCATTAGTGTGTGCAGTTTGAATAGCTTAGGGATTTGCATCAGGTCATTGCAGTCAGCTTTAATATTTTTACTTTGTTGCAGAAATCTAGTGCCCCATATTAGATTCCGTGCTACCTCCCCAATAATTAGAGGAGACTGTTATGTTTTTACTTGTCTTTACCCGTAGACTGCCACATATCAATGTATGTGTGACGTGAACTGTATATTGGAACATAGAGATTGCCCTACTGGAGCAGACCTATGGTCCATCTTGTGCAGTATCCTAAATCCAGCAGAGGCCAGCACCAGCTGTTTCAAAGGAAACAGTTGGTGCTATTATTCACGACAAGTCTTGAGAACAGACCTAAAAGCATTTTTCTGAAAGCTGAAGATGCCCTGGACATGCATTAAAAATTCAAATTGACATAAACAACAAATGCAAGAACAAAAAATATTCCTCAGCCCCCAAAAGAGAATCCCACCCACTCTCTCCATCCACAGCATACATTCCCCCCACCCCCAACCTAAGCCAGCCCTCAGCACCCCTGCTCTACACAAAAGCCCAAGAAAGGTGATAATTTTATATTTTATTTTTGGTTTTCAGAACTTAAAGAAAGGGACGAAAGGAACATTATTAAAAAAATCACATTTTTGAAACCAAAAAGGGAAAATTATTGTGTATTTTAATTAATTTTTTAGAATTAAAAAAAAATGTTTGGAAAAAATATACCCCTTGTGTGTCAGTGTTTACCGTTTCACTTTTTCAGC